GGGAGGAGCGCTCCAGCCCTTCTTACCTCTCGAAGATGAGCCGCACCATGAAGATGCAGAAGGCCAGGGGGAAGGCGAGATAGAGGTCCTCAGCCTGCGGGAAGGTGGCTTCCTCCGTGTTCTTCAGGTCTGCCCAGGTGACATTGTGTGGGAGCCAAAACCTCTCGTTCCAGAACCAGGCTAAGATCCCTGCCATCTTGCTTTGTCCACTCCAATCGTGGGCTCCCGCGGCCCGCCGAGCTTTCCGCCGCGCAGGGCGCCGGAGGATGCGCGCGCGGCTGGCCCGAGCCTGTGCCGCCGCCGTAGCCGCCTCCGCGACCGCTGCTCTCGAAGGCTCGCGGCGAGCCCCGGTTCTCTCCTCCCTCTGGCCGCGCTGGGGAAAGGAGCCGCCTCGCCCGTCACATGGCAGCCTGGGCCGCTCGTCCTGATTGGCTCGCCCACGCGTCAAGCAGGGAGGCACACGCGGCCAGCTCGCCCACGCCCGGAGGGTAGGGCGCAGCCGCTGCGCCCTAGGCGCAGGAGCTTGGCTCCCGGGAGTGCGAGCCGGGCCTGCGCTCCCCGCGCTCTAGCTCCGCGCGCAGGACAGCGACCTGGGCCAGGCCCCCCAAATCCGCCCTAGCCTCCCGGCTTGCTCGCACATGCTCAGAACGCCGGTTCCTGCCCCCACTGGAGTTTCAGAGGTCTCAGTCCGCTTTCCGCGCGCCTACAGGCGGTGGGGAGGCAGGTAGGGGTCGGAGCGGATCTTCAGAACCACCCCTGCTTTGAGAGAGAACAGCAAAAGAAGAAGTAGGGGGACTCAAGGAGCAAAGGAGGAAGAAGTCGCAGAGAAAGAGCCATGCACTCCCGCGCTTGGAGAGGCAGGGTGAAAATCAGGAACTGGGGCAGGATGGTTTGGCAAGAGTCTGCCTCACCCGATCCCTGCCTTTTCCCCATCCCTGAACTTCAGGCCTCTTTTACTACAGCTCATCACCACACCAGTTCCCCCTAGGGAACAAGGCCCTCTATTTTAATTTATGAGGTGGTAGGTGAAATTAGGCACTTAGGTGCTATTTGCTAATGATAGTGAGGAGGATGATAATGATAGCAACTCAGCATTCTATAAAACTGCCACTCTAAAGGAACCTCTCAGAAAATGCCACTGGACCACATTTCGGCTTCACATGGATCAGTAGAGAACCTCCACTCTGCTATTTGACAGGTTTATTATTTCTACTTTTTGAATCTGAAACCTTTAAGGTGTTGGGTCTATAAGGCCTAGCCCAGGCACCTTCACTCCCACAGTACATTTCCTCACTGATACAGTGAACCATGTGGGTCAGTCAGTTCAGTGGCCCATGCAGACCTGGTCCTAGGGGTATTTTGTTCATTTTTCTGCCTGGTTCATTTTTCTGACCTGGTAGGTTGTAGTGGACACTTCCAAGAGGCATATAAATAGGCCCTTAACACACACTTCTTTATTCTCCCTGCCCCACCAACCACCACCCTCTTTTCACCCCTTACCTTTAAAGCAAAACTCTAAAGAATTGCCTGTATTTATTCCATACAGTTTCTCTCTCCTCCATTCTCTTTTGAACTTCCATCTGAGCATTTGACCCTCTCTGCTGCACCGAACTGCTCAAGCTCACCAGTGATCTCCATGCTGCTGACCAAAGGTCAGTTCTCAACACCGCTATCAGCAACATTTGGCCAAGTTGTTCAGTCCCTGCCTCTTGAAATACCTCCTTATCTTGGCTTCCGGAAACCACATTCTTCTGGTTTTCCTCCTACTTCGTGGCCAGGTATGCTGAGTATGCTTTTTGGTCCTCTTCACCTTCCTAACCCCTTAGAATGGAGTGACCTTGGAGTCGGCCCTTTGTCCCCTTCACTTCTCCATCTACATATATTCACTTGGTGATCTTATCCAGTCCCACGGCCTTCAACGTCATACTGATTCTCTAACCATGAACTCCTCCTTAAACTTCAGTCTCCTAAATCCACTATCAATTCAGCAACTCCACTTGGTTGTCTAAGAGCCATTTCCTGTCCAAACTACTAATCTTCCCTCTAAAATTGTTTTCTCCTGTCATCTTGGCTCAGGCCAAAACTCTGGAATCATCTTCCTAATGATTGATTTCTTATCTCCTCAGATGTCCTTCCTTATCCATAATAAATCCTAACAGCTCCATCTTTAAACTAGAATCACACCATCTCTTATCACCTCTTCTGCCATCTTGGTCCAAACAATCAACACTGCTCACCTGAGTTATACCAGTAGCCTCCTAACTCCCAGTTTCAGCTCTTATCCCTTTAAAATCTACTCTCAGCCAGAGTGATCCTGTTGAAATGGAAGTCAGCTCACTTCTGTCCTTAAAGCTTCCCTGTGCTTCCCCATCCCTCCCTAAGTGAAAGCTAAAGATATTTCAATGTCCCAAGATAATTTGGGTCCGTATTAATTCTCTGACCTCATCTACTCTCTTTTCTCTCATGTGCCTCTCCCTTACTCTGTTCTGGTCACCCTGGCCTCCCTGGCCTTCTTGGAAAACATCCAGCATGCCTTAACACCTGTGCACTTGATTTCCTCTGTCTCTGCAACTCAGCCCCCCATCCCCAGATACCCATACATACTCTTTGCTATAATGTTACTTACTCCATGAAGCCTTCCCTGGCCACCCTGGTTAATGCACAACCCTCACTCCCCACCTCCACACTTCCTATCTAACTTTCCTGCTTTGTTTTCACCCACAGTATTTATCACTACCTAACACAATGTATATTTTACTTATTTCTTTATTAGTCTCACATACATATACACACTAAAATGTAAGCTTCAAAAAGTAAAAGATTTGTGCCTATCACTATTCTTTTAAAAAAAGTATTTTATTTACTTCTTTGACAGAGCACAAGCAGGGGGAACAGCAGGCAGAGGGAGAGGGAGAAGAAGGCCCCCCACGGAGCAGAGAGCCCGATGCGGGGCTCCATTCCAGGACCCTAGGATCATGACCTGAGCTGAAGGCAGACATTTAACCGCTTAACCAACTGAGCCACCCAGGTGCCCATGTGCCTATCACTAGTCTATCCCTATTCCTTAAAATAGTGCCCAGCACATAGTAGATACTCGGTAAACTTGAATTAATGAAGCAATGTTACTCAATCTCATAAAAATTCTTTCTAGGAGAAAAAATCTGAATAAATAATTTTATTAAATATGTGTATACTCATGTGAAGAATAGTGTGGACTTAAAGATGGGATTGATCAAATCTCGAGTACTGTAGGAGAGGTGTCCTTGAAATGAGTCTTCATCAAGGAGTAGGTATCACCATTCCCACTTGAGACCAGGCAGTTAGCTGCTCATTGTTACTGATGGTCCTCCAGGATGACGCCTTGGCATCAACTGCTTTCTTGTAGGCCACGGAGAGGAGACTGCTAAGGTCAATTGTCACCTTTGTGGCAGAAGATCAGCTCATGGTGGAGCCTGATCTGCTGAGCAGAGAGACTCCCTCCATGGCTGCCTCTGGTCCTTCGTGTCACTCTCGTATATGACCTGATAGTATCTTTCCTTCTACCCTAAGACTTCTCTGCTGTCCAGCAGGTTCTGCTATGTCCCCAAGCATATACAACAGGAAGTGTTGGTAAGTTAATGCCCTGGAGCCTGAACTTTGACCAAGAGCAATAGAATCTAGTGGATAAACTTTTATTCCTTTCCCTCCCCTGCCCGTGGGACACACATGGTAGCTTCACACAGCCTCCCTGAAAATATCCTGCGATACAAAACAATCAGCTTATTCCAAGGTTGGGGCCAGCTCAGTAACTCACTCCCTTATGTTTCGTTTCTTTCTGTCACTTTTCTTTTCCCTCATTCCTGCTTCCCTGAAATTACACTCCTCTGGAACGGCTCTTTTTTCTAGAGAAGACAAACTAAGTTAGTATTACTCTCATATTCATTACCTTTGAGAAGGTGGTGGGGTTTCCGGAGCCTTTTGAAAGGTAAGTTTGTTGAACAATGGAAAGAGAATTTACTACTTATTTGTGAATCTTGCATAAGTCGCTTAGCTTCTAAAAGCATATTAATGCCCTTAGAATGTAAAATGTGAATGTGTAAGTTGTCTACCGATAGTGGCTGTCTTGCCTGAGCTTCTCTACTGTCATGAGGCTCCCATGATGTAACATGTGGGAAGGGGCTTGGAACCTCTTCACCTCTATGCACGTGCACAGTGTAGCACAGCTCTGCTCTTTTATCTGTCCAGCATATCTCCTTCAGGTGCTAGGCCATTCCTACCACCCTCCATCATCCAAATGATTACCCCAGAAATACAATAGAGTAAGATATCTATCTATCATGTCTGACCACATTTTATTGGTTCAGAGATGGATCTTTGGCCCAAGATGGTAACTGAAGTCCTTCTTCAGGTATTAGGGCATGAATCAAGGCAAGCATTTTTTTTTTCTATAACTTAGACTCTAAGATTTCAAACTCAGAAGCTGTTAGCACCATGCTTCACCATATGGATAGAAAAAAGCAGAAGCTAGTGGGCACCAGGAAAGAGGAATAAAGCAGACCTGTAGAATTAACTAAAGGTAAGAGACATATTTCCACATGGTACCTGAAGGCCAACTAATTTCTCATCTTTAGGTTCCATGAAACAGTCTCATATCTTCATGGTGAATTCCCCTTTTTGGTTGGCTTGCTGTTATTTTAATCCAAAGGAGTCCCACCATACAAAACATTACTCTGAGAATACATGTCTTTAACACTTTGCTGACTTCAGTTCAGCCCCCAGGGGAAGGTTAGTCACAAGAAAGACACCTCCCAAGGAGGTCACTATACCTGTGCAGAAAAGACTTCTAATTGTTGCCCCAGGAAACTAAAATACAATTTATTCATCAGACATGTTTGTAGTTCAACAAAAAAGCCAATAGTCAGTCTGTAAATAGAAGAGATAAGGAGAGAGAAAAGGTGAAAAAAGTTTTTGTTGGGGGTAGAGGGTGACAGTGCCTACATTGCATATTAGGAAACTGTGCTTCACGTCCTGAATATGAAGCAGCATACATAGAATATACCCTCTTTTTTCCAGGCAACAGGGAAATATCAACAAAGCTAAGCATTACTTTTCATTCTTAGGCACACACCCAGGTCTTAACCCTTCTACATATATTTAAGTCCACCCCTTAGATGCAGGAGAACAGTCAATTTAGTTGAATTTCCACTGTGAGTTGTATAACACAAAACTATAGGACTTGTTCTACAAAAAGAACACAAAATCTACTTGGGGAGCAGGATGTACTCACATGAACAGCCAGATAGCTTACACACCAACACTACTCATGAAGGCACTGGACCATATATGGTAAGTGCCCGTGTACTACAGATAACAAGGACTTCCTGCTC